CAGGGCTGGCAATGGCCCAGTATTTGCAGTGGGAGGCCCAGGAGCGAGGGCAGGAGGTTGCAGCAGAGATCCAGTCTGTGCCAACCACATGAGCCAGGGAAGGCTGGGCAGCAGACACCCAGCATGGGCTGAAGGACCGCCCTTCTGACAGGCTGCTGAAAACCCATAGTGGAAAGCCTGGGGCAGGGTACTCTCCTCCTCTCTCCCAGAGGGCGTGCCAGTGAGTCACAAGATACAGGAGGAAGTTGGTAGAACTGAGAATCTGAGCCAAGAGGAGGCTGAACCTTCTACTGAGACTCTAAAGTGGTGGTGAAGGACACCGATTTGGTACAAATCCCAATCCTGTCATCTAGCACTGCGTGACTTTGGGCGAAGTACTCACTCATCAGCTCTAAGGCTCCATTCCCCAGCCTGCAAATTGAATCCGTGTCTCTTACCTGATAGGGTATTCCTAACTTCAGTCAGATAATCCATGTACAAGGCATGGGTTCTTCAGAACTCACTAACTAGTAGATTTAAAGCGAATAAGCTTTCACGCCGGCCACTTGAGGCAGGGAGTTGAACCTGAGTAGGAGGACCCACGAGACTCAGCAGTCTGGCTACTCGGAGGGAACCCAGACACATCTGTAAAATCAGAGGCCTGGTCTACCTAACACCTGCTAGGATACTTCTGGGGCAGGGAGAGCGTGGCTTTTTCAAGCTAGTTCTTTATCAAAATAAAGCCGAGCACACATGTTTTATTTTTGTTGTTTCGTTTTTCTTGCTCTGTTATCTAGGCAAAGCTCCTTTTGAAAATGTCAGCCTCCTGTAGCACCATGAAGGGGAAATGAGGAAAAACATCCTCATAATTGATCTTTCCAGTTTCCAGATATAAGAGCATTAGTGACAATAAAGGGATGGAAGCCTGGAAAAGATGAAAATGTAACAGCACCTGGTAAAGGGCCACTCATGTAGCTGCCAGTTCCTGCCATGACTCCTGAACTCAGTTCTTCTAGTCTGCTGGGATTTATGCACAGCATGTATTTGAGATTTTCCTCTTCATGGTGAACTGTAGCAGGACAGGAGAGATGCTGTGTTATGCCCATTTTCTTCCAACAGGACAGGCTGCACTGCCTCCCCGTGCCGGTGGAAAGACTGGGATTCTTTCTCCTTGCATGTGCTTGATTCACTACAGGTGCAGACCCTCAACGTGCCAGGTCCCATGATGTGGCCTCCGCACACTGAAGGCAGAACTTCACCTGCCCATCACTTCCAGCTGGCCACTCTGGATCCCACCACTTTTCTTTCTAGGCTGAGGTTCTAGAGATGCAGCAGTGAGCCGTGTGGAAGAAAATCCAGTGAGAGAGAAGCAAATGGGAAAGATGGAAGGAAAAGTCTTAGCTCACTTGGAGACCCATATAGTCTCCTCTCTTTTAGGGAAGAGAAAGAGGAAGCCAGCTAGTCAGTCAAGTGTTGCCAGGTTTTTGTTTTGTTTTGTTTTGTTTTTAATTCGCCAGCAATCTCATTGCTGCCTGCTAGCGAAAGTTATCAGAGTTGAAAAGACCATTCACTAGGGCTACTTGGGTGAGTGGGGGGCCAATTTACACAACCCACAAACTGATACTTTCTATGAAAGTATCTCTCAGTTTCTGATTACACTCATGCCTGGTCACAGGTATCATTATAGCCAAAAGAAAAGTTCAGACTCATATAAATCCCACGGATCAAATTAGACTTTTCGCCAGGTTCTTGCAGTCAAGGGTTGACAAAATAAGGCCCCATCACACTGAAACTGTCTTTCAAATTAATCTTTCTTCACTGCTCACACAGACTATTCCATTTTCTACAACCTCAGTTTTCATCTCTAGGACAAAAGTGCACAGGAACAAAAATATAATACTCTATCAATTCGAATATAACCTAGGAGGAAATTAAAAGTGAATTCACATTTTGGTGCCTATGAATGAAAGTGGCTTGAACATGTGTTAAAAGCTGAATCTAGTTCAGGCAAGAGTTGAGAGCTTGGTTAATGACAGCGACTCATGGCTTACTGTGAGGGTTCTTTCCTTGGTTTTGAAGGGCTTGGGCTGCAAGTATGGATTTGCCAAATTCCAAAATTGAAAAATAAATCTCTCCTATTTTTCAAAGTGTGTGAAATGTTATTTGGAGAACAGGCAAACAAGCACACAAAAGTCATTTTCTTTTATGACACTTTCGTTTTTTTATAGTTTGACATTCTCTGATGTCAGAACTTTCCAATTCAGTTCATCTTCTAACACTAAATAGGCAATGATGCACAATTTATACTGGAAAAACTACACCCAAGCAACTTTGTATATTTCAGTTTTATAAGATGTAGCATATATAAGCACATATTTCAATCATATGTACATCTTTACAATATAATATTTATTGCAGATTTCAAAACTTCAATCAGAAGAGTATAAAATTCATCTTACCAATATAAAATAATTTCCTCAATCTTCTCTTTTTACATGTTCAGTAAATAACAGTTTTTCATAGGTTGTGTCCCTTTAAATAGGTTCTTTGTGTAACGATGTATTTTTGTCTCAACCCTATTATACAAGGTAGCAGGTTAAAAACTCAGGGATGGTAATTTTGTAGTTTATCATCACAAAACAGCATATTTAATACTGTAGCCTATGTAATTACACCTGCTGGTGTTTTACATTGTACCACCCAGTCTGCAAATAACAGTGTCTTTACAAAGCTTTCTAAAGGAATATAGTTCTGGAGGAATCAGAGCAATTGTTTCAGCAATACAATGCCATAAATGATACAAAATAAGCATTTGCAAATGTGACATTTTAAGAAAAACACAAACCCACATACATGCCACTGCTGCTTCACATTTCTGTGTTAACGTAATTTAAAAAAAAATTTTAATTATTATTGCTTTATTAAATGAGCAATAAAATATACCTAACTTTTAAATAAATGATAGATGACAACTGCCCTTAAAAGTTCATGAGTACAATCAATGCTTTTATGTTGCTATGTGTGCAAATTAAATGTAAATTGCAGGAAGACATGAAAAGTTAATTGTTTATACAAGTTGCTACATACCACCTGAATGTCTAAATCAAACTGCCAAAGAAAGAAAGATCCCCATGAAGGGCAGACTATCTTGAAATGAAAATCCCCACACAGATGTGCTGTAGATCAAGAAATGAGAAATAAACAAAATTATTCGAGCAGATTTTTTTGCATGATGTTCAACTATTTAAAAAAAAACTGCCCTCACTATTACTCAATAGCACAAAATATGCTCAATAGAAAAAAAAAAAAAAAAAACAGTATACCGCGACAGGTTTTTACTTCGTTCAGAGCAACGATTTATACCTTCTTAACGACTTCAAACACTTTCACTTCATCTGTCCATTTAAGTGAGATACTGTGAAGTTAACTGAACCTTAAAAGAGATCAGCATATAGATAGCTCTGGCGACCAGGATTAAAACAAAACAAAACAGAATTGCTAAAAAGAGCTGTGAATAGTCAGGGATGCATACTCTCAGCTTGAGCCAGCTCCTTTTTGAAAGGGTTGCCAAGAGCACACCCGGTCCCTCCTAAACTATTTTTCACTCCACTACCTCTGACTGCATGTGTCGCCCGTGCAAGAAAATGCGGGAAGCATCTATTGCCAGTAACATCTGGATGTTCCCCGGAAAATGAGCACTTTTCTTGCTAGGAACCGTCTCAAACACGTTGAGAGGTGCCCCCCGTCCTTCCCCAGGCTTAACCCTCTTGCTCCGTGGTTCCCAAGGCTCTCCTCCTGACGCCTCCGACTTCTGGCCACAAACTCCCCGAGTTGAGATCAGAGCGGCCGCCCAGGCCGGCCAAGACTCCCGGCGGTGACACCAAGGGTTGCCAACGCCAAACACTGCGCAGACTCCGCGGCGCGCTGCGGACTCTGCACTAGCCTAAACCTGCTCTCAAGTGCAAAGCGGTGGGAGGAGGCATATTGGAAGAAGGCGGAGGGCTAGGTTGGGGGATCCTGTTAATTCCAGGTCCGGGGGGTGTGGGAGCAGGCGGAGGCTCCGCGTTGGTCCCTCCTCCCTCCCCGAGTCCTGGGCTCCACCTCCTCCGCATGCCCAGAGATATACACACACCCGCGGCTGGACATGCACACCCAGCGCCAGCTCCAGGCGCGTATGGACACAGGTGGAGACACTCACCTGAGCCACTACAAGGTCTCCAGCTGTCTCCCGAGCGGCAGAGTGGCGGCCAGGGACGGGAAGCGACCCGCTGCGCTGCGGCAGTGCGGAAAGCCGGAGCAGCCCCAGCGCAGACCTGCGAATTGAGGTGATGGCGCGTTTTTCTTAGCCCTCCCCCTACCAGCACCTTGACCCCAGCGCCTGCGGGGCTGTAGCCGGAGAAGCCCGGAGAAAGGGACCTGGGGGCGCGGCGCACAGGCGGGCGCACGCTCCGAGGCGAGCGCGCCAAGAGGGGCGCGGCGGCGCCGGCGCAGAAAACTTGGGCGAAGTTAGTTGCAAGTGCCGGAAGGAGCGGCCGAGAGTAGTGAGCTGGAGACGCGGCCCGGCCGGGCCCGCTGAGACTGCGCGGCGTCTGCGCCCCGCGCGTGCTGGAAGCCGGAGTCGCGGCGCCTGGAAGGGCTCGGAGCGCGCGAATCCAGCATGGCCCCGGGGACAGCCGGACGCCGCGCCTCTGCGAGCCGGGAGCCTCTCTTCTGAGGCCCGGCGACCCAGGCTTGCTCCAGCCTCTTTCCGCACCTCTTCTGCGCACAGGTCGGAGAGGGAGACTCCAGAAGCTGGTGTTGGGGAGAGGCACATTTACTCCCTGAAACCTCGGCCGATTGGGGGGGTTCCCATCAGTGCGCCCTACCCGGAGCCAAGGAGACACGCTGGTGTTGCCGTATTTATATTTACATCCATTGCGGCGCTCCGCGTTACGGTGCGCGCCCGGATCCTCCGCCTCCCCCTCCTCTTCCTCCTGCCGGGCCACCTCCCCTCCTCCCCCACCCCCATCTGCTTCTGTCAAATGAGAAAGTCACCGAGGAGAACCCAAACACTCCAGCCGCCGAGAGCCCCCTTTGGCACTTGGCAGCACGCGGCGGCAGGCGCCTTGGTTCAACTTGGTAGAGCCTCCTCGACGCAACTTTCGGAGCTGCTTTGTATTTGAGAGGGGGAAGCCCGAGGCGGGGAAGAGCTTCGCCAGGCAGCGGCCACCTGCGGGGACTTCGGGAGCAGACGCCTCCCGGAAAGGAAGACGGACAAAAAGGCAGCAGAAGGCACACGGCCACCGCGGGGCGGGGGCTCTGCCGAGAAGTCCTGGTGCACCGGAGAGGATTTCTCGCGCGCCCGCTGGCCGCAGACCCCGAGGCGGCCCTGGGCTGGGCCCCTGACCCCTCCTCCTGCGCGGGGGCGACGCCGGGGTCCCCGCGGGCAGCCGGCGTTGATCTGCTCCGGGCCGAAGGTGCCCGCCCGGGCGGCGGGAGCATGTCCAAGCCGGTGGACCACGTCAAGCGGCCCATGAACGCCTTCATGGTATGGTCGCGGGCGCAGCGGCGCAAGATGGCCCAGGAGAACCCCAAGATGCACAACTCCGAGATCAGCAAGCGCCTGGGCGCCGAGTGGAAGCTGCTCACCGAGTCGGAGAAGCGGCCGTTCATCGACGAGGCGAAGCGCCTGCGCGCCATGCACATGAAGGAGCACCCCGACTACAAGTACCGGCCGCGCCGCAAGCCCAAGACGCTGCTCAAGAAGGACAAGTTCGCCTTCCCGGTGCCCTACGGCCTGGGCGGCGTGGCCGACGCCGAGCACCCGGCGCTCAAGGCGGGCGCCGGGCTGCACGCGGGCGCGGGCGGCGGCCTGGTGCCCGAGTCGCTGCTCGCCAACCCCGAGAAGGCGGCGGCCGCCGCCGCCGCCGCTGCCGCGCGCGTCTTCTTCCCGCAGTCGGCCGCCGCCGCAGCAGCCGCCGCTGCCGCCGCCGCCGCGGGCAGCCCCTACTCGCTGCTCGACCTGGGCTCCAAGATGGCAGAGATCTCGTCGTCGTCGTCCGGCCTGCCCTACGCCTCGTCGCTGGGCTACCCCGGCGCGGGCGCGGGCGCCTTCCACGGCGCGGCCGCAGCGGCTGCAGCGGCTGCCGCGGCCGCCGGGGGGCACACGCACTCGCACCCCAGCCCGGGCAACCCGGGCTACATGATCCCGTGCAACTGCAGCGCGTGGCCCAGCCCCGGGCTGCAGCCGCCGCTCGCCTACATCTTGCTGCCGGGCATGGGCAAACCTCAGCTGGACCCCTACCCCGCGGCTTACGCCGCCGCGCTATGACCCCGCGGGGACGCGGCGCGCGCGTGTACATATGTATAGTGCGAGTTCCGGGGGCCCCCTCGGGGGCGGTGTACATAGGTGTATATAGCTGCCCGGCCGCGGGGGCGCGAGCGCGCGCGAGTCCGCTGGAGATCGCCCACCCGCGCCGCGACAGCCCACGCTACACGGGGCGCCCGGGCCTGCCCCCAGCAGTGCGTGTTCGCTTTGCACTTCCTTCGGAACCTGTTGCGTGTTGACCCACCCAGGTGGAGGAGTAACTTTTTTTTTTGACATGTTGGGCTTTCCAGTTTTGTTCATTGGAAGTTTATGATTTTGCTTCTGCTTCTCATGGCCCCTTTTTCTCTCCCTCCCCGGGTCCGCGTTGCATGCTCTCTATTCAAACGCCAGTCGAACCCGGCTGGCGCCGGGAACGGGCCGCTGAGCTGTGTCATTCGTTTCCCCGAGCGGGGATGGCACCGAGCTGGCTGGCCCTCCTTTGTACCATTTGAACTTCGCAGGGCTCTGTTCTCTCAAGCAGAAGCCCCAGACCTGATCCATTCTTGTCCAGTGGCCGCTCGAATCTGGCCTTTGGTGAGATGATCACGGTTTCTTTTGTTTATCTGGCCGTATGCACATCAGAGTGAGAGCTCGCTCCTCAGAGTAAGAAATGCGGACGAGAAATATGAGAAACTTAAGAGGAAAGTTGTCAATTGGATTTGCTCTCGTTAAGAAAAAAAAATTATACTGGGAGTCTCTGAGTCCGCTAACATGGATTTCTGACATAGTCTCCCTTTTAAGGGGAGAAGGTGCCGGTGCACTTACCTCTTTTGGCCGAGCTCACCTGAAGGTCGTAAATGTGGATCTGTTAGCCAGACGTGGGGCCTGGGGAGAGGGCTGCTTTTCGTTGCTCTGACTCGGAGTCAGTTTTAGACTCAAACACCTTTTGGACAAATGTCAAAAGTTAACTTTTAAAAATTGCGGAAACATTTCAGAAGCGCGATTTTATCTAAAGTTAAATCAGACTTTTTGTCTGAGTGGTAATTATATATTTATTACTTAGCAAAACTGGAAAGAAAAGCACAGAATTGCTTTGACAGATGCCTCCCTTTTTCAGCTAGTGTTTCTCTTCCAACTTGAACCATTTTAATGTGTTTTGGAGTCCCTTCCTGGATTATTTTTTAGATCTCCTGCAATTCATTTGCAAATAATGATGAAACACATTTTAGGGGAAAACCTTCCTGAGTTATAGTTTTTTTTTTTTTTTGGTTTCTTTCTAAATGTATATATTTTGACTGATGTTTGTGAATGAAGTTGGCTAACATGTATTTAGTTTCATTTTGGCTTTATGTAATATAAAGTTTTTAAAAGTTTAAATATTGGTTTTAACCTTTATGTGTAAATGGTTTTCTTGTGTGATCTTCTAATTTAATATTAGATGCATTTAAGCTATATCTGTAAATTAGAATCCAACTATCACTCTGTTCATTTTTTCTGAACAAAGAGTTTAAATAAAGCCTGAACCAGGGAAAAGAGAAAATCTTCTATTTCTTGTTGAGTTCCTAACAAGATTTTTATCTGAATTGCCCTTACGTGCCTGGTCCAGGTGAAGTGTAAGGTATCCTCCAAAGGCCGCCTTTGTTTCACTTTTGAATAGATTTACTAGGAAATCTAAATCAAGCCATTGTTATTCAGAGCCAAAAACCTGATTTATCACATTTTTAATCATGAATAGGAAAGAAGATAAAAAAAAAACTCAAGTAGTTGAATTATCTTTAAAAAAAAAAAAAAGGCATTCATGAACTAGTAGAACAGAACCCATTGAAAACCTGCAGGCTGTTCAAAGCATTTCACCAGTTTCCAGTAGCATTCTAAGAGGGGAAGTTGCCTGACCACTTTATCTTGTTAGTAGAGGAGACCTACCACTTAAATCATTGTAATTTGTTCACATATCTTTGGGGTGTTCTCTTTTGCACTTGCACTTTCAGGTTTTATTTGGAAGGGTAGTCACAGTCAACAGAAATATACAACTTTTATCCTCTTTGAGGCTTATTCTGTCATGCTATTAGCACCAAAATAGAAATGCATAAAAAAAAATTTCTAATGAGGAGGGTGGACTTTCCAGGGTTAGGCAAGTCTCCACTGGAGAAAAGTTTGAAATCAACCCTATGGATTTTAGTCTTGGAAAAGGAATGATAGGGCATCAAGGCAACAGCAGAAAATGAGAGGGGAAAAAAGTTAACTGCAGGGAGAGAACCCACCACCACCACCACAGGAGATGGAAATTCTCAAGATCCTATGTGCAAGTCTTAAACTAGCTCCTCTATTGACAGAGGCCATCCCTGGAGCTGCACATCTTTATAAGCAGCCCAAGTCTTTAAAGTCATTGTTTTCTCCCAATGGAATAATATTTTAAAAACCATGAAAAGTTTTGGAAATGTGAGAAATAAGCTCTGCTGGTTTGACCCTGATTCACTAATTAAAACGATCCCTCTCCTGTTATTCCCCGAGCTCTTTGCAATATTATAAGTTAATTCATATGGTTCTGAGCGATTATGCAAAACTAATTTGGACTGTCCAGGGGTAATTATCCCTGACACGGTTAATTAAATCCTTTCAAAGCTTCGTCTTTCCCTTTTGTAGCAGCCCATCTCTTCTCAACAC